ACTATGACCTTGATGCTGATCTAAAACGAAAAGAAAAATAAATCAGTAAACTTCCAGCCATCCAGATAACACATGAGATTATAGCAATCAAGATTCAGTGATGTACTTCATCCTTCTTTTGTTTTTGAATAAAAACATTTTATTATTTATTATTATTTTATTATTTATTATTTTTATTTATTTTTAAGATTTTATTTATTTATTTGACAGAGAGAGACACAGTGAGAGAGGGAACACAAGCAGGGGGAGTGGGAGAGGGATAAGCAGGCCTCCCACTGAGCAGGGAGCCCGATGCAGGGCTCAATCCCAGGACCCTGGGACCATGACTTGAGCCGAAGGCAGATGCTTAACGACTGAGCCACCCAGGCACCCCTAAAATCAGCATTTTAATTTCTTTTTAAGCAACATTGTTTGTTCAGTGATGTTCCATAAAATTAAAAAATAACTTTTTTCTGGTTATAGAAAAATACATATTTACCATGGAAAGTTTGGTAAACGTAAAAATAGATAAAAATGGAATCTGATTATCCAGAGCAAATATTATTAGTAATTCCGCCACCGAGACTAATGATTACTAACGTTTAGGTGAATTTTCTTCCAGTTTTACGTGTGTGTTATGAAAGACACACAGAAAGTTATCATACTGTATTTATAGTTTTATATTATAATTTTAAAAACTGGCATTATTTGACAAGCATTTTCTAATCCCATTGTTACTAAATGTGCTTTTGAAAGCGAGATGTTCACGGATGCCTTGTTGATCATTAGAGAGATGTACCACAACTCTTTAATGTGGACAAGATGGCATCATGTTGTCTACAGCTTTTTCCTTTGGGAATTTTAGCTTATCTCAGGGAATAGAAGGGAAAGGAGAAAGGAAAAGGAGGTGTAATCCATGTTTGGGCTGAATATAAAGACGAGCACTAGCCCTCGGGAGAGAGGCCAAGCCCAGCGGCTACCGCGTGGCAAAGCTGAGAGAGCATCATCACAACTGCTGCTGACGGAGCCGGTTTTTAACACAAACATTTCTCTTGTGATTTCAAGTGTTTTGTATTCTGTTCATATGGCTACTGGGGTAAAGCCATCACCGTACGTGTGGTTATTGCCAAACGGTTTTATTGAATCGGAATACGGGTTGAATTGTGTCCCCCACCAAATCCAGTATGTTACAATGTGACCTGACTTTGGAAATAGGGTGGTTCAGACGTAATTGGTTAAGATGAGGTCACATCCGAGTAGGGTGGGCTCCTAATCCAATGTGCCTAATGTCTTTCTAAAAAGGGGGAATTCGGACACAGACACACACACCATAAGAACACCACGTGAAGATGAAGGCAGAGACTTGCCAAGTCTCTGCCAATGCAGGAGAAGCCAAGGACATCAAAGACGGCCAGCAAATCGCCAGAAGCCAGAAGAGAGCACTGGGGCACATTCTCTTGCATAGTCCTCAGAAAGAGTCAACCTTACTGACACCTTGGTTTGCTGTGACGCAATATATTTCTGTTGGTTAAGCCACCTGGTCTGCAGGACTCGGTTACGGTAGCCCTAACAAACAAATGTAAGTCCCATCCTGTCTTTTGTGTCCAGAGATCAAAGGGACTGGTACTAACTGACCTAGAAGTTGCAATATAGGATCCAGTAACTCCTTTCCTGCTAGTTTCACCTGGACAGCGATTTCCAAAAGCCTCTGAAAATGTTGCTTTCACAACTATGGTAAAGAAAATAAAACCAAGTGGATGTAGAAGAAAGGAGGAGGTCTTCTCCCTTCAGTTACTCTGCCTTGCAAAAACTAGCTAATGATGGGGCTAGTTTCCAGTAGAAGGTGAAGAGATGGAGAACAAGTAGAGTCAGAATAATTAGGAAATAAAACCCATACTTTGCAAAGAACCAAGAGAGTGCCCTTCTCCCTTGTATGTTTACCTTCTGTGTATCCTTCTCTGTGAAAATAGTGCATTGCATCACATTTCATTTTAGTAGCAGAGTTGACTGGGAAACACAAGGCCCTTATTATTTACCTGTGAGCCTGACCACAGATTCCAGGGCCTTGTGAAATTCAGAATCTCATGAACTCCAAATTATTCCAGAACTCCTCTTCTGTCCTCTGAAGAGATGGGCACCAATAGTCAGAAGAAAAGGGGTCACTTACCTCCATGCTTGTGCTGAATGCTCTGGTAACTTTTGCTTTGATGGTTATAACTTGTCCAACTCTAGTTAAAAAGAGAGGGAGGGACTTTAGTAATCCTAGCACATCTCATTTCAGACTTAAAGATTCACTTAAATGCATGTGCCAAGGAGCAGTCCCCGTGTTATCATGCTGATAATGTTCATACATGAAACCTTAGGTTAATGATAACAGAAAAAGACAGCTGTAAAAACAGATGCCAAGCACTGTAAGCCACATGTAGGTTAGCTGACTTCTATTCAAAGAGAAAAGGGCCTTTGCAAAGATGGTGTGCAAAATGACTTCCAAAATCTGCAACAGATACTTTGATTATATCACAGCTGTTTCTTTAAGAGAAGATTAAAAAAACAAAAAACAAAACACAAAACACAAGCCAACCCATAGAACTGACATTTATTTTTAAATGTCTGTTCACAAATAAATGGATACAAACCAGCAAGTGAGCAAACTGATCAACTTCACCAGGTTTAGGTGGACCCTCAGGATGGCTGGAGGACCCATTCACTCTCCATGATTACAGGAATCCCGGTCATACAATCTGAAATTGTTCCAGACCTTTTGTGTTCAGGGCCCCCAGTTACCTCCTGTCCCTTTACTTTGCCTTAAGGGTCTACCCAATGTAAGCCTCCTCAATTTTTCTTATCAGTCTATGAAAATGCTCAAGGCCTCTTCTTTCTAAAGATCTTTCTCTCAAGCCTATTCTATCTCAAAATTTTTTCTCTTCTCCTCCATATTCAAACTCCCTAAAATATTCTTTTTTTTTTTTTCTAACTCATGCATTTAGGAAATATTTACTGAGTTACTACTAGTCCTGGCATTAAGCTAAGACCTCAGGAATACAGTGATGAACAAGATAAGGTTGCTTACTGCAAGGAAACCAGTCTTCACTTGGGACACCAGTATGTAGACAGATGAAGTGCCATGCTATGAAATTTTTCAAGAAAGAAAGGATTGAATATTACAAAAGCACCAATAAGAAGAGGCTAATTCAGAAAGGTGGGAAAGGAGTCACAGAAGAGGTAACATTTGAGATGGCTCTTCAAAGATGAGGATTTTGCCAGGGGCCGAAGTCTGAGGGCTTCATTTCCCATTCACTTCTCAGCCGCTCAAACATGGCGATTGCCTCCAAATCTCACTTCTGATCCCTCCACAGTCACTTCCTAACAGCTAAATCCAACATCTCACCTCATTTAATGTCTTTCTTCAGGAGGCTTTCACTTCCCTTGGATTCCAAAACAGCGTCCTCTCTTCTGTCTCAGTTTCTTTCACTGATTTTTGTTCCTTAATCCATCCCTTCACTGTAGACATCGCCTTAATTGCTGTCCTTTGTCCTATTCTCTTCTCACTTCACCCTCTTCCAAGAAGACCTTGTTCTTGTCCACGATCCTGTCATCTTTATAGAAATGATTATCAAACCTACATTTCAGCCTGGACCTCATTCTTGAAACTCAGAGCCCTATTTCCAAATTTTTCTCAACAGATTCAACTAATAGTCATGGAGGCTCTCATAGGAGGCTCAGGGTTAGCTACCTCCACATACATCACCCAATTTATCTTAATTTATCTTAATCTCCACATCCAGCACATGTAAACCCAAATCAATTTTCTTTCTTCCTTGTAAACTGCCTAGCTCTGTTTGGTAAAGTTTCTAGGAGAGATTCACAGTAATCCTGCCAGGCAGAGTTAGAGTACCTCCTCAAAGCTCATGTACACCCTCTCTCTACTAAATAAATAAATCTTTTTTAAAAAATAAAAATAAATAAGAGCAGGGGAATTCCAAAGAACGTGGTTGTCCACCAAACCAGACTCTCAACACTGAATGTCAAATGAGTGGAACGCCCAGAATTTCAGCTAAATAAAACCTGCTTCATAGCATGGCATTCAAGGTCTTCTGTTACGCAGCCCCAGTCTACAGCTGGGGTTGTAGGCATCACTTCTCTGCACACCAGGCTCTTCCTGAGTACTTTCTCCTCCTTCTTACGCTCGTGCTTAGATTTGTACACATGCCTCATTACGTGAAGTCCTTTTCCTATTCACCAGATGAAAATCTATACCTTATTTGAGGCACACATTAAATGCTATCACTCTCATTGATTCTCCAGTCAAAATGTGCACCTTTTAAACTACCTCATAGAATGGAGTTTATCTTTCACCCTAGGCTTGCATCCTATCATGCTTTCTATTCTGATGATTATGTATTTGTCTGATTCTCACCAGACTCAGTGACCGCTACACTCCAAAATTGTGCCATAGTCATTCATATATCCTACTGAGTCCAGAGCAGTACTTTTTGTATAGGCAATAAATATTGGAGAATTTAAAAAATATCCAGTGTGGTTTATAACCAAATTACATGGCTTTCTCTATGTAGCTTTCAATTTTCTCTTTTTATGGTTCAGGTCCCATGTAAAGAATACAAGCAGGTCCCTTTCCATGATGTTAATGGCCGCAAATCCTTTCTGATAACACAAAATGGTGCAAAATGGAGCAAAATGGCAACCCACATTTCACTGATGAGGTTACTAGTTAAGTCTAATTTACAGAATTTAAGTTTGAAAACTATATAATAGATATTTTATTACAATACACTGTTGCCACTCCTAAATTTAATAATGGTGCTTCTATGTAGTCCTAAATAAGTTTGGATTTGTAGTAATTTGTAATTTTGCTGAGATACAAACACATCTCAGTTTTTTTCTACTTAAGGGAAAATCACATAGCTAGTATGCGAGCTTAGTCCTTGGACCTTTATCTGCATCCACAAGACTCTAGAATGTCCAGAGCTCTTTCTGTGACACTCCAGCTGCCTAGGAGAACCACCATTGGGAAGTATTCAGTAAAAGTTGCTGGTCACAAACACAGAAGCAGTGGGTCCAGGAAAGCACTGGATTAAGGGTAAGAAGATCCAGGCTCAAAGCACCCTCTGTCCCCCAGTTTGCTCAGGGTATTAGGCCTCAGTTTCTTATGGGTACAAAGAGAAGGCTGGGTTGAGCTATAAAGGTCTTACCATGTCTGTGATTCTAATTCCTGCCAAAAATTTCTTCTGTGTCAGTTTTGAAGAAGTAATTTCTTCACGCATGTGGTTTTATTTAACTTAATTTTGTATCTAAATAAATAAATGTCAAATAGATAAATGTGAATAGTAAGGCTGGAGACACAGACTGAGCATCTCACTGGACATACTACCTAGGGCTTGAAAACCGTGGCAACTACCTCCATGGTCTTTGAGAACCAACCAAGACCAGAAACTGATGACCTTCTCTCTTCCTTTTCCTTGTAAGTTATGTTCATGTCTTCAAGGATCAAGATATTCAGGGAAAAACAAAAACAAAAAACAGAGATACAAATATAAAATCAAAGAAATTAAGTAAAACCATATAATCCAATTTATTACAGGTATTAGAATAAACCCTTTAAAAAACAAATAATTCTTAATTCTGTCCCCTGGAAAAAACCTAGAAATAATGACCAACTCTTTATGAATGAGTACATTTTCTGCCCAAATTGTGATCTCTACTTACTATTTCTTTTGAAGAAATTTGTGACTCTAAGTTTTTGTAAGGAAATGAAAAAGATGAGCCCACTCTGTCATACCAGAAAGCAAAGGAGTTATTAACGGCTTCTAGCTTTGCAGTTATGTCCAAAGAACTTAGGAACCAAATTGAAGAAGCTCCCACTGCTCAAAGATGAGGCAGTTTGAGCACCCATAAGAATAACCACATCCAAATTGAAATGTATCAAATAGGCTAAAGTCCACAGGCTTATAATGATACTAAATAAAGGAAAAGAATTAAGCCTGTCTTTCCTGGACAAATACCTAAGAGTAACCAAGTAATTAATGAGATAAAAAGTCTCTCTATACAAATAATTCGAGAAAATAAATGAAGAAGAAATGATAGGATTGGCATATCACCATTTTACCAATATCTAATGAAATAATGCTCTAGGTAATGATCACTAGACATTATGTGCTCTTGACAAGAACTAGCTTTACCAAAATATGAAAACTTCATCAAATCAATTTTTAGATGTTGCTATCATTCTACAAGAAATGTAAAGAATAGGTGAACTTCTTAAACAGGGATACAATGAGCAAATACAAAATGTCATCAACTCTATAGGACAAATGACCAGGTTTCTTTAATAAATAAACTAAGAGAAAAGAAAGGAGAGAAAATTATATGTTAAAAGACTTATCATCCATATTGAATCCTGATTCAAGAAACCAATTGTTTAATTAAAAAAAACACATTTTTTGAGACCATTGGGAATAATGATTTCTGTTAATGGTGTTGTGATTATGTTATTATGTTTTCTAAAAGAGCCCTTATCATATAGAAATATATAATGAAACAATCACAGATGATGCCTGAGATTTCCTTTGAAATAATCCAGGTGTGTGGGGGAGTATGGAGATGTGCTGATAAAACAAGAGTGTCCATCAGTTGATCACTGTGGTAGTTAGGTGACAATCCTTGGGGATATACTATACTAATCTCTCTACTTTTGTGTATGTTTGAAATCTTCGTTGATCTTGAAATTTTCTGCAATAAGAGATGGTAAAGCACATACACACTCCCACACATAATATGTTTTTCATAATTTAACATCTGTAGTCAGATGAATTAATGTTTACCCAATAACCTAATGATGAAATTCACCATCACAGACCTACTTATTATCATTAATTATTCTTCTAGTAGAGGAAGAAGCAACTAAGAAGCAGCTTTTAGAAATCCTGCTCTGTCTCTACCAAAAGGTATCTATTCTGAGAGCTGTGTCTCACAAAATCAGGACTATGAATTTACACTTAAAAGTCTTTACTAAAAGTAGGTCCTGCAATTACTATTTTACTGATTTACACGAGGTCAAGTATTATTTATTTGATTAACAAATTGGATCACTGAGTCCAAATAAATAGGCAAAGGTGCCACAAATCTATATTGTAAATGAGGCAATAAGCCCAGGAGAAAGGTGTGGTAGAGTGATGCCACTTACCTAGCTGTCTCCGCAAATTGTATGTCATCCACTGAGGCTGTAACACAGGAAACCCCAGCATGTTTTTCAGCTTCAAAAAACAGGTAAAAATGTGCTGCATTAATAGTTATGTCTAAATCATAAGGGAAAAGAAATAAAAAATTAAATGGACTTATTCTAGTAACTCATCCTCTGGTTCAGTAAAGTACCACTATGCCCACACTTGTGGATGATCTGGATCAGTAACAGTTCTTTCATTCTGTAAGTTGTATTTCTACTGCATGGAAATTACTGTACTTTCTTCTAAGTTTTAACTTACACTGTCTTTGATTTGAAATTTAATACCTAGTATACCTAGCTATTGAAATAGCAATTTTAGTAAGTTGGTGCCAACTTTAAATATTTTGTCAGATACTACCCTCCTTTTGTTTTAAAAACAATGCATTAAAGCTGTATGCATTATCCCACATAATCAGAAGCTACATATACTTAGACCAGTTAACATGTATAAGCATTGAACAGTATGGAGACCCTGAGATCATACCCCAAATCAGAGAGCAACTTCTCTGGGTATCACAGAAATACTCAGCACATACTAGGTATTTAGTCAATACTTATTGTTCATTATTACCAAATTCAGTATGCATTAATTATGTTGGAGAGGAGAGTATTAAATAGTGTGGAAAGAGATTAAGGAAGAACCCTAGCTATTTCCATATTACATTTAATTGGTTGAGGGTTTTTTTATTATTGATTTTGTTTTATATAGAAATATCAGAACTTACTCTCTTTAGGAAAAATGTGGACATGTGCTTCTGCCAGAATCTGATTTTGATGAACAGTCAGTTAAAACTGAAATAGACTGCACTGGCTTTTTAGGAAATTTTAACCCCATTTTAATTTTGGAGACATCACTCCTGCTGCCACATTATGGAAGAGACTGAATTACACTGACATTGTCTTCTTTGTGTAGAAACCTTAACTGCAATAATAACTGACAGTGCAAGATAAAGAGAGGTGAGAAAATACTCCAAAGAGCAGGTATTTAGGACACTCTTTCCTATAATCTCATTTGTAGAAAATTGGACATTTTGGTTTTACCAGTTGGAAATAATTAACTGTTCTTCCAAACATGCACATAATATAAACTGAGTTAGCGGAAAAGTAACCATAGGGGCACTGTGTGTGTGAGTAACGGAGAGGGGACGACTGGCTTCCCAGCTATTAAGTTCAGTGACAGGAAGGGAATGTAAAAGGACCAGACTCTAGAAATACTCAAGTTGGGCTCAAATGAATTCAGTGTATCAAACACCTATTAAATTCCTGCTGATTTCCAGACACTGAGCTGAGTCAGTCCTACCTCTTACCAAGTGTACTCGGTGGCAATTAGAGAGCTAGCCATACATAGTCGGTGCCCTTTTAGAGCTTAAGATTTCCAGAGAACTACTGGATCCTTGCAAATAATACACTATGAAACATTGACTAAGGAGTACCTAATACACAGTCATTCTACTTGCCTGACATGAAGGAACAGGATGTGGAGTTTATTAAACTATTCTTGTTAATAAAGTGTTACCATGTGTGTCAACATAAGTGACCAATTTTGAATGATTTAAATGATAACTAAAGTGCTAAAGCAGACTCTGTGATGAGTGTGGAACCCTCCACACTCATTTAGTCCCAAGGCTAAATTTTTATTTTATATATCAAGCATCTATTTTATATATATGTAAATATATATAAATTATGTCCCATATATATAGCACTATATATAATTTATATGTCATATATATAATTTATATGTCATATATATAATATATAGCACTATACTAGACTGGGATCATGAACAAACATTATCATAATAGTTACCATTTATTAAACACTTATTATTGACCAGGCGCTGAGCTAAGTATTTATGCATGTCAATTACATGAGGTTGGTACAATTATTACTTTAATTTTACAAATGAGGAAATTTAGGTTTAGAAAGATTGACTCCATTGTTCTAAATAGTGATTTTGACTACAGAAGCAATAGAAACTCTCAGAAAAGAGCAGTCAAGGAACACTCTTTAGAGAAGTGCTTAGCTAAATGTGGGCTTCAGAGGCTCAATAGCCATGGTTTAGACTATAGACTTTTAAGGGTCATTAAAAAGAAAAAACAAAAATATGGGGACCCAACATAGGACCACAATTTGTACATGTGATTGTTTTATTTTGTTTACAATTGTGTCATGTATGAATTTAAAAGACCAGCTTGCTCTGATTCTTGATTTTGATTGTCCTTCATACAGTACACCAATAAAAGTGGAAGAACTCTAAAGCTATTACTGATTTCCTTGAGAAATTGAGAGAGAGGCTGGGAATAGTAGCAGAGTAGCTAAGTGGTTGTAATCCAGATATGAGATGATGATTGTTTAAAATGGTGGTATCTCCATTCATTCATTCCTTTAAATAATGTTGAATGAATTACCTGTGATATGCTAGCCTCTATGTAAGGGGCTGATAATATAAAACAGCCATGATCTCTGTTCTCACAGAATCTAGTGGAGAAGCCAGGGATTAATAAAATGAATAAGTAATAACAAAATGAATTAAGTGCTCTGAAGAAAACATGAATTGTATGGGAATCGTAACTGAGAAACCAGACCTAGGTGGGATGTCAGGGAAGATTTCCATGTGGAGGGGGATGCTTCAGCAGAGATCTGAAGGATGATTAAGACTAAAATACATGTGTTGGGGAGGAAGAACAGAGAAAAGGTGAGCAAAATGAACAGAGGGAAACAATTACAAAGATCCTGATCAAAGTCTTTGAGGATAAAATGCAGAAAGCAAGAGGGGTGCCTGGGTGGCTCAGCTGGTTAAGCGTCTGACTCTTGATTTCAACTCAGGTCATGATCTTGGGCTCCACACTCATCAC